TTTTCATGTAATTTGTAATTTTGAACACAAGATATTAGTTTCTGAGATCAAATTTTCGGTGATTTGATGAGTTACAATTCGGATAATATATTTAACGTTCTTTCGTAAAGCTGGTATTTCACGAAAATTACATGAGACCTTATTTACTAAAACTTACGTAAAATTACATGTATTGTAAAATTGTAATTTGTAACACAACCCTACCTACAGCTCGGTGAATTAATGTCCCTTGTTTTGTAAATTAATTGTCGGTGAAATGATGCGTATCCAAATGCTTGGAATTTGCACTTTCTATATAGTACTATGATAATATATATTTGCGATGATGAAGTTATTAGGCAGCAATTTTGAGCCAATTTTTAGCAGGTTTTTTTTTTTTTAAAAAAAAAAAAAAACGGATTTTTAACCAATTATCCGCCAGTTAGTAAAGTTATAGAAAGTTTAGAAATTAATCAATTCAGTCTTAGATAATTTTTCGGCAAAATTTATGTAAACAGTTGTAATCTAGTTTATATTAGTTTTCGAGTAATTTAGATGAGACTGAATGATTTAGTGAATTTAATTGATCAGTTCTTAATATAAAAATTATAAGCTAATATGAACTTGTAATAAAACAGCAGCATTTCATATGACTGGAGCCCTGTGTATTAAGTTCTGAATTTAATAAGAAAACCATAAAGTTAGTACTGCAGCTCATATTATCAAAATAATTATATTATGATAATAGCTTCATGTATATATGGATAATAGAATGTGTTAGTATTAAAGTATATATATACTATATTTTTATAAGTTTACATTTATACGTATGAAAAAAGACAGGCTTAATTTACAGATTTAATAATTTATAAAGTCATAAAAAGATTGATCTCTGCCTTTATATTTGTTGTATATGAATCGTAATTATCCAAGCAAGACTCAAAGGAAATTGCCTACATGAGAACAATTTCTCCAGAGTATATACCACTTGTGAACTATTGACGTGATAGAGTTAGTATTGTATAACTATCCATTTTATTGTATCAAAATTTCTATACTCATTATGCTAGAGCATTCATAAATACTTACTGCCTAATATGATTATCATGCCTCTATTATTCAGAAGACCCTTGCATCACCAGTATAAAAAAATTTCGCTACCAACGTTAGGGTTAGGCTTTAGATATTTTGATTATTACACCTGATCTTGAATTTTAATTTGACCAACAGCGAATTTTTCGGGTAGTGACACTAGAGTGGTTCTATTATTCAAGACTCACCTCACTTTTATTTTATCAAGTTCTCCTAATACTAATCTAAATGTCTTGTAAATTATATAAATAAATGCTTCATTATATTCTTGAGCCTTGTTCTTGTACTAAAAAGTGGGATTAAACAACATAGCTCTAAACTCTCTTTACGTTTACAAGAATTTATTATATTGAGGGTGTTGAATCTAAATTTTTGTATATTTATAATTATTAAATTTGCATTATAGTATGCGAAACAATAAAAATTTCTTGCCAATTTGTTAATGTAATATTATCCTCCCTTTATACTCTTTAGCTATTTTATGTCTTATTGTTATAAGTTTTTTTTGAAAATTTGATTGACTTTAACGGATATTGCTTAAGATTCTCCGATATGCTTCGAGAACGATAATTTATAAACAAATAGAAATATACAGAAATATTATTCCTTGTAATATATATGCTTTCATGCGTTTATAAATTTTTGTGTTAAAAACAGTAATATAAATAATGTTAAAAAATTACAGATTTTCATTTTGTCTTATTTACAAACATTACAGATTTATTAATTTGTCCTCTTATTTACAAACATTATTGCCCAAAACTATTATAAAAGTCTTCCTTTTTTTAATCTGTTATTCAATCTTAAATCATTCAAGATAGTATACTATCATTAAATTCGTTATCTCCATTTCTCTCACTAATGGAACTCTTGAAAGTGAAAATTCCATCGCTATTTGTGGAATTTATACTATTATTATCAATAGTCACCTCTACTCCTGAACCGTCGCCACTAAGTGAATCATACACTTCAACATTAAAAACAATTGAACCAAATGCTCTGGAACAGTCATCATCCAAAGAAACATTACCATCAATTTTAACAATTGAAGCAAACGTTCCGAAACAAACATTCCTTCCTGTGACTAAGAATGCAAAATCCACGACTACAAAAACAAAATCTACGACTACAAAAACAAATTCCACAGCTGCAAAAACAAAATCCACGACTGCAAAGACAAAATTCACAACTGCAAAAACAAAATCAACAACTGCAAAAACAAAATCCACGATTGCAAAAACAAAATCCACGACTGCAAGGACAAAATCCACAACTGCAAAAACAATATCCATGACTGCAAAGACAAAATCCACAACTGCAAAAACAAAATCCACGACTACAAAGACAAAATCCATAACTGCAAAAACAAAATTCACGACTGCCAAATCTACATTCATCTCTAGGCCTGCAATCTCTAGGCCTGCAATCTCTAGGCCTACAATCTCTAGGCCTACAATCTCTAGGACTACAATCTCTAGGACTACAATCTCAAAGACTACAATTTCCAGGTCTACAATCTCCAGGGCTACAATTTTCATTCCCCTTTTGAAAACCTACTCCCAAAAACCTTATACTATTTATACTATTGCACAACCCTCTGATGGCTATTATTATTATGATGATGATGAAGAAGATTATTCTTATGATTTTTCTTCTGAGATTTATGATAATAATGAATATGATGAATACTATCCAAATTATAATATTGTCACCACCACTAACTTGATAAAACCCACTATTGTAACAACTGCTTCTCCAAATGACGAAATAATAGCAGAACACATCGATGAGGAACCTCAAGCTTATCCCACTACAGAACTCCCTTTTTCAAATTACAAAAGTCACAAAATAGAACTCACTACGGATCATCTTTTCCCAACATACGCTTTCAAAGAAATTACCACCACAATAAAGTCCTCTTTTCCAAATCATGATATAGAATCTACTGCGAAACCAGTTTCATCCATGCATGCTTACAAGGAAATTATTCCTACAGCGAAATCTCCTTCACCTATGCACGTAGATCACACCTCTAAAATTACCACAATTGCAAAGCCTCCTTTTCCTGGAAAAAATCATTATAATAAGAACCACAAGTACGTGTATCCTTCTACTGGAGAACAAGATTACTATAAAAAATATCATAAGTATCCGCCTCCTGAAGAACAAGGCTATATTAAACACCACATATATCCTAAATTTTATGCTAAATCACCCAAAGAATACTACAAATTATTTCATAAACATCCTTCTGGCAAAGAGATAGAGCCGCCTAAAGAGGAAATGTATCCCAAGCATCATCATAAATTTCATAACAAATATATTAAAGCCAGTCCTGAAAATGTTATTCCTGTAAAAGTAACTACTACTTGCTCAAACAAGCACCATAGACATCACAAGCACTATAGACATCACAAGTACTACAAACAGTAGAATAAAATAAAATACGTACTTCGAAGTATTTGCATTGAAAATAATAAATCAAATACGTACCCCAAAAAATCTACTACTATTATAAAAGGATATTCTATCATAATTCTTGGAAATATATATAGAATTCTCTATTATTAAACCATAGAAAATTTAAAAATATACTATTTTTGCTTAAAGATTATGAAGATTATAATTAAGTTCTTTATTACAAGACAAAAAGGAATCTATACTAGTGAACTAACTGTGCTCAAATGTTAATATTTAATTTAAACCTTTTTATATTTTATAAAATTTTTTAGTATTAGCGTATTTAGATTTATTTTGGCTTATAATATTTTTATTTGGCTTTATTTATTTGTTTATTAATAATTTAACCTGATTTTAATACCATTCTTGGAATTTTGAATTAACGATCAATATTATTCTGTCTAAACCTACGAGGCAAATTTTATGCAGTTAAATGATTTCAATCCAAGTTAATCAAGGTTCGAGGTCGCCAGTTGTTTTCTTTTTTAGGCGCTTTACAAAATTTTAAACTTGCTGTTTCTATTTTAAAAGTTTAAATAAGTAAACAATCAATAAAACCTATCTTGATTAAAAAGATCAAATTTAACTAGAAATTCCAAAGCCAGTTAAATCCTGTTCCCGCTTACAACACATATATTGAAAACTATAAAACTATTAGCTGTTGACATTATTAGTAAATAGATAAAGATGGAACCTTACAATAGTAAATCTATACATGGGTGCTGAAATTATTTTTGAAAAATCAGTTTTTCGGCAAACATTTCGGCATTGCTAAATTTTTATATGAAACCCTTCGAAATAACTATACTATATGATTTATTTTGATGAAAAGATTTTAAAAATTTTCGGCAATAATTTCGGCAAATATGAAATTTTTTTCGGCATTATATAAGACTAATTTCGGCTGCCTAAATGCCGTAATTATTTTTTATTAAGATGGGCAATTTAGGCACCCATGTATAAGTAAATCAAAATTGACGGTTTTGAATCGACAAGAAATAGTTTGTTGAATAAGAGTAATAATGTAACAAGAGCAAGTTGATAAATTTTATTTTGAGATAGAATATATACACAGAGAAACGACATATTTTTTACACATGATGACAAAGAGCATAATAGATTAAATTTACAACACTAAAATTGTAATATATTTGGCAGGGCAACTTTTTAACATCTCCTTAACCAAAAGTTCTTGACGTAATGTTAACTATTTTATAATATTAATCACACAATAATAAACCATACCGTGGTGCTCAACATTAAATAAAATATAGTTAGAAATTTTTAATAATATGATGTTTTTATTCACATTACACGAATTATTATACTGTAATTATTTTTTAATAATTATTTCAGAACGGAGTTGGTTCTTGGTTACTCGATATGGTAATCAGTCATCCCGAAACTAAATTTATTTGTCTCGATATTTCATCTTTTTCAACCTGGTCTTAACCAAAAATGTTGAATTTATCGAAGCAAATCTATTTGAACGTTTACTATTTGAAGACAATACAATCGATTATGTATTTCAACGAATGTTGTTTGGCGGATTCCTATAAAAAAATGGTTGTCAGTGATTAAATATTTACTAAAAACTGGTTATTTATAATTTTTTCAAGTGGGTTCGAACTTGACTTTCAATATAAACTATTATGCTCTGTAACAACGAATATTATAATAACCGTAAGGGTCATATTACGGTTAAAAGATGACATTATAAAATTCTGATATTATAGATACTTTGTATTAACTATGTCTTACGAACGTGGTCTGGACCCAGATTTATGTTAGAAATTGCAAGGTATTCTAGAAAAGCATAATCAACTTAATATTCACTGTAAAATAAAGGAACATTTTAATGGAGATGAAAAGTTTCGCAAATTGGTATATAAAATTATTCAAATTTTTCTATGCAATATATCAAAAATTTAGTAGATTGAAAATTATTCTGCCTAAGCCAAACATAAATATACTTAAAGTATCTGGTAATGAATATGATAATTTGTAAAGCTGTAGGAAAAGAATTATCTAGGATTGAGGCTTATTATTCGCAAGTACTGTACGTATTTATGCTCAAAAAAATAAAAAAATAAAAATCAGGTTAAAAATAAGATTAATATCAGTTTTAATGTCGTAGCTGATTTTAATATTTTAATCAATTTAATTTTAATATTTCTCTAAATGCTTACTCAAAAAATATGCAATCAAAGATAAAATTGTTTTTTAATTTCATTAAGATTAAACCTTTTGCTATTTTTGTATACATATCCCTAATAATTTTAAAAATTTAATATATTTAACTATTTGACCAAATTGTCCATATATGTGTAGCTAGTTTGTTACCAGGGTCATCACATAAAAATATCGCGCCATTCGAACTTGCATGCTAAAAAAATAATTCTTTGTCTAAGCACGTAAGTACATTTTCGAATAGTATTTAAGAACAACTGACAAATTGTTGTGTTAGGACGGTTTGAATTCCAAAAATTTGTATAATTCGAAAACTATCTCCATTTGAACTTCTGAAGTTATCGTTCAATTTGCTGCAATATTATGATGTTTATAATAAAGCAAGGTTGGGAGATAAAAAGATCGCAAGCGCCGAATAACCCTTTCTATGATGACAGTGTCAAATAATCTATAATGATGGTGTAATGTTTGGGAAACAGGAAACAGCTTTACTTATTCAATTTATGCTGATAGCATTTACACGTGCAGTAAATGACATAACAGATAAGATCTAAGTCGATACATAAATATTTTTTATAGAAAAAAAGTTAAGCGATACTGTAGTAATCCCACCTATGCAGAATCATGCCATTTGTGATATCTTTCAAAACTTCATATTAAAGGTCGGCCTGCATTATGCAGTGTGTGAAACCACTGACTGTTGCTATACATCTCGAATTCAGCTGATGACAGTGATAGCCGGCACAATCATAGTTGCTGTTAGACCCAGAAATCGTCCTAAGTCCCGTAAGGTCATTTTCAAGTCAAAGGCCCATATATTTTATCTCTTTAGTATTATATATATCTGATTTATTATATTTTGTATATCCATATGTTAGAATAGATATAACATAGCTTGTAGATATTATAGCCATTAGTCGCAGTAATTAACATGTATAAATAGCCCTACCCTATTACCCCGAGTCGATAGTTTCTCGCACATACAATTTAATGCCACCTCCAGAAATTAAAAGGTGTTTCAAATTAGATATTTTTATTAAGTAAACTTCTTTGATCTTAATTAAAGTTGTTCATTAGGCCTTTCTGATTCTAATAGTAGTAAAATTATTATATTCAAACTAGTAGTTTCTATGATATATATATCAGAAATTGATTAACTTTTATTTACTTTTAAAGAAAAACTATTAGTTCGATTTTAATAATTTTACTACTATTGGAACCAGAAAGGCCTGATAAACAACTTTTATTAAGATCAAAAGAAGAGTTTTCTTAATAACAATATTTCTTTTGAAGTATTTTTTAAAATTTAGAACATGATATTAGCAAAAATAGGGGTGAAAATAGCAATTTTCTATTTTCTTTATAAAATAATAAAATTTTATTTTATATAATTAGCTTTAAATTTAATATACTATCTTGGGCCTAATAAGCCCAGGTTTGTATATTAAATTTAGGGTTTTGCTATTTGCACCATGATTTTTACTATTTGCACCATTATAATTCATGTATATCACTTTTGATTATATCACATTCTATTTGCACCATGCTTTTTGTTTACAAATTTTAATAACTTTAAATAAAAATATCTTAATAACTACTTGATCAAATTTAATAAATTTTTTTTTATTTGGATTCTGTGAATTCACAGAATTCAAATAAAAAAAATTATTAAATTTGATCAAGTGGTTGCAGAGATATTATTGGTCAAAGTTTTGAAAAAATTTTGAATAAATCTATCATGTGATAGGCGTTTTAAAAATTTTCAAAATCTTTGATCAAAGATATCTCTGCAACCACTTGATCAAATTTAATAAAAAGTTTTTATTTGACTTTTAAGAATTCACAGAATTCAAATAAAAAAATTTTCATTAAATTTGATCAAGTGGTTGCAGAGATATCTTTGATCAAAAATTTTAGTAAAATTTTAAACAAATCTATCATGTGATAGGTGTTTGAAAATTTTCAAAATCTTTGATCAAAGGTATCTCTGCAACACTTGATCAAATTTAATAAATTTTTTTTATTTGAATTCTGTGAATCTACAGAATTCAAATAAAAAAAATTTTATTAAATTTAATCAAGTAGTTATTAAGATATTTTATTTAAAGTTATTAAAATTTGTAAACAAAAAGTATGGTGCATGATGTAAATAGCAAAAATTATGGTGCAAATAGAAAAACCCTAAATTTAAACTATTTTTATTTTTTTTTGAAAAAGTAAAATTTATAAACTTAATTAAATATGATTTTTTTTATTATTATTATTAATATAATGTTATAGTAAAAACTTTATTATAGTAAACTTATATTAATTTAAAGATTAATAGTTTTTTTGTTATTAAAAAAAACTTGAGTAAAGAGACAGATAAGTTAATTGACCAGGCTGCTAAATTCCTTCAACTCAGTGCTAGCTAATAAAAAGAAGATATAGTTTTAGAAAAAACTTCTATAGTAAAGATTTTTAACTATACTTGTGCTATAGAGCACCCAATGTGACATTATACCTCCTATTTTCTATTTAATACTATTATTAATTTAAATAAATAAAATAATTTTAGTTAGAGTAGTGTTATTTATCACCTGATTTTTTTTTATCAGAAGTATACCCCCTCTCTCCTTTTAATTATATATTTGATTAGGTCTTTATATATAATTTTAACTTTTTTTATCCCTCTCTCTCCCTAAAAAATTATCTGATTTTTGTTACTTCCCTTAGGTTAGGTTGGAGAAAACTTTAGGATATTAATTAAGGCATTATAAAAAGCATGTTGTTAGAGGAAAGAG